CAACCCAGCCACCCGTCTTCCTTATCGCCAACCTACTGCTACTATTACTTCGCGAATTATTTGCTCACATTCAATTAGCAGTTCATTGATTAAGCGAAATGAAAAAAAAAAAAAAAACAGAAATAACAAAACATCAACAACAACGACGAAAAATAAAATGAAAAATATAAAATCCAATTGTAAATCTGCAATTTAAGCGAACGCGTGTGCGATTGCCTTGTACGTAAGTGTGTAAGTGAGTGTGTGTGAATGTATGTGCGTTGTATTAATTCATGTACACTATTTATTTGTACATATACGTATAATTATGTATGTAAATTGCAATATTTTAAATAAAACAAAAAAAAAGCAAAAAGTGCATAAAATAAAACAATGACACACGCAACCATTAAAACTCTTTGAAAAACAATTCTCATAATTTTTATGATTTCTCTACCAGCCATTACTAGCGATTTTCCGAACATTTTTAAATATAAACTGCATTTACATATTAAATGACAATTAATTTGTTTTGTGTTGCTGCGACAATAACATCATCAACAACAACAACAACAACAACAATAGCGAATGTCCAATTTTCCGCTTATCATAGACTATCATATCATGTATTACAGTTGGATTGTGCACTTTGGGTAAAGGATATCAAGATGTCAGGCAAATATACAATGAAGAGAAGAAAAATAAAAAATCGCTTGCTGTATTTGTAATCCAGTGTCTACAGTAAGCTTGCACCAACAAAGATAAAGTCAGATTGGCATATTTCGAAGCCCTTTAATATATAGCCTAAGGTAATCTTCATTTCATTTATACAAGAAAATGCAAATAAGATGGGTATGGTATTTAGCAAGATTACGACGGATGTAATCAATTCACAATTGCGATCGCAATGAATACACAAAAAATCTTCTCTTTCCCTAAGAGTTCATGGGAAAATCTACTTAACTGCCTTAGCTAATTTCAATTCTAATTTGAATTCTCTTCTTCCACTTCTTTTTAATCTTCCTTCAATTTAAAGAATTCCTTTTTAAAGGTCGATGTAATTGCGAGAGACTATGATTTTATTGAAAAGGTTCTCTTACAAGGGATAGTTGAGTAAAACATCTTGTCGAGCTAATTCCAATAACATAGGATCATCGAAGAATTTATTAATGGAGACATCTTCGGAGAGACCTTTACGGCGCCGTGTTTTAATCATAAATTCACGTGCTAAATGCGAAGCTTGTTGCGGCTCTAAAGGACGTATAACAATTGATTTATCCAAAGGATCGCCAGGAACGATTTGCCAATGATGGAATACTGACAGACAGAAAGCTTGACCCTGCGTATGTGTACGCAAATCAGTTTCGAAACCAAATGAGTCGATAGCAGGAATAAAAGCCTTTATCGTATAGAGGGGCGATCCTGAAACGGGCGCATCCTGTGTGACATGACCCCTAAAGTAAAAAATCATATACGCATATATATAAATCACTTTTAGAGAAACTATTTTAAAGACTATTACCTTCGACGAGCTAGTACGGTATAAACAGCGGAAACACAATCGGCTGGGGCTTGTACTTCAACAAATAGATAAGGCTCCATAAGACGTGGTGTCGCCATTAGAAAAGCCGAATATGCTACACGTCTCGCTGTTGGTATTACTTGACCACCGCCTCTGTGCAATGCTTCGCTGGCTATATCGGCATTCAATATTTTAAATTTCACGTTACGTATTGGTTCTTCACAAAGAGGTCCTTCACGCGTGCCCCACTGAAAACCTTGAACAATTGAATCTTTCACTGAGGTTAGTAAATTCTTATCCACTTCAGAGGGAAGTGTATCGTCCACTAGTATATTAGGCCCAGTTGCATCAGGTCCAAAAGCCCAAATCGATCGGGCAGCCAATAAATCCCAATCATAATTAACTTGAAAGAATTCTCCCAGTCTCTTTTTATTCCAATTGATAGATACCACTTCATTCTCGATGTCTTCAGCGAGACCTTTCTCCAAGGGTTCCGCGATCATGGTAATTTTATTCTTTTTATTAGGCGTTTCAGCGAAACATTTAAGTGAACTGGTTTCCACGACAGTTTCGCAAAATGCCACCACTGGATCGGCGACTTTGATATCGATTTCTGAATACATTTTTCTCAAATCATGCATAACACAATCCAGATATAATTCGCCAGTACCTAATATTACATGTTCACCCGATTCTTCAACACGAGTAGAGAGAAGAGGATAAGATTTATTTACTTTACGTAGGCCATCTAACATTTTAGGCAATTCCGAAGGATTAACGGGCTCGACAGCTATTTTAATTATACTTTGAGTGTTAAACTTTAAAGGGCGAAAAATGTATAAATCCTCGGGGGCGTTTACATCCACTATGGTCGATGTTTTTACAATGCATTGGTCAATGCCTTCAATTAGCACCCAATTACCAGCGGGCACCCGGTTCAATTCTACTTTGTAACGCGCTTCGTATACCCATAAACGCCCGACTTGCAAAATACGAGAATCTTCTTCGTCTTGCAACGTATAATTCTCACCCAAAACGCGTACTTCTTGACCGGCGCGTAAAGTACCAGAAGCTACACGGGCCATTACCTGAACGTATATGAGATAAAATTTTAAAAGAACGGTTCTGCTAAAGGAATAAAAAGGAAGGAAAAGGAATAAAATTGCTTACCTGGAAGAATGTACAATCGTCAGTGGGATACATTTTTGCACTATGAACCATTAAAGTACCATTTTGATTACATTGCATCATATCATTGTAAATTTCACCCTCTTTCGGCCCCGTGTATATATGATCGACCTTGCATTTTGCATTGTCCAGGGGTGAACGGATATGTTCGACGCACATATTAACAAAACCACTAAAATCACCGACAAAACGATTGCAAACTAAACGCAACAGAGGCCGTATATTGAATTTCATTTCCTCTTTAGTTACGCGAATATTTAATCCCGCTAATGTATCCGCCAACATTGTATCGACATCGCCAACCACTTGAGCAATTAATTTGTACATCGGTTCCAAAATGAACTCAACGAAACTTCGCTTAGCCGAATTGTGTGGTGGTTTTTTAGTAAACTTACGTCTATAAAACAATGAAATAGAATTTTCTATTAATTTTCTCTTGAATTCGCCAATGATAAGCATCATCAATACTTACGAGTTGTTATGAAAGTACATATCGCCCCAAAGACATTTGGCAAATTCCACATAATTAACACCTTCGAATGTATCGGCATAAAGTTTCGCAAACGATTTTAGAGTAAAGCAGAAGCCATACAACGAACTGGCAAAGCAAACATTTCCTAAAGTAGGTGAGACCAAGGCTGTATCCTCAATACCGCCGTAAGTACTCAATAAACTGTTCACTTCTTCTACGATATGCTTCAATTTAAAATAGGCATCTTGGGGCGGTAGTTTCAATTCCAAAATTAAACGATCAATCTTCGATAAGCAAAAGTTTAATTGGCAAACGAAACGAAAAAAAATTTCAAAGTTATTTTAACGTACCTTATTGATGCATAAAGTAATGGCCATTCTTTCCTGAACGGCATGCTTTAAAAGACGTTCGGTGTTTAACATGACACCCTCGGCAGCATCTACAAATACTACGACACCGTCGCACATGCGCATAGCAGCGGTAACCTCATCTGAAAAATTCACATGACCCGGTGTATCGAACACATTCATTAAATAGCTCTTCTGTTTTACATCCTGTAAAACTAAAGTTACAGGCGTAGCCTTGATGCTGACGCCCCGCTCTTGTTCGGTGAATAAAGTGTCTGTATAGCGTAAAGAGCGTTCCTCGTTCATTTCAAATTGTGGATGTGTTTGACGGATTAAACAATCGACAAACGTTGTCTTGCCATGATGTAAATGACCAACTAAGGCCACATTACGTATAAGAGGCGGAGTATCCATTAAATCTGCCATAAACTCCATATTATATGTAGTTTCGGGTAATTCTTGTTCTTTTATTTGAAATTTCAATTTCTTTACGGGCTCAATTAAAGGCTTATCCAAAGGTTGGGCATCCTCCTCTTGTACTATGGTCTCCACATCGGGACCATAAATCTCCATAGCTGTTGGATAATAACGTTTATCTTCATGTAAAACAACTGCCGTCACCTCTTTATCTTCATCATCCACATGGTCTTCTTCTTCGTCTATGTTCTCTTCCTAGCAATAAGATAGAAATTGATATATATATAAATATCTATGTTTATCCACAATTCTCTTATTTTTGTCAATTCATTTGTAACTTGCATCATGGTCTTGTTGATCATGTTGGCCGTAAACGCTTTGCTCCTCATCCTCATCACTGTCTAAGTCTGGGCCGATGTAATTGCCAAATTCATCATATAAATCCGAATCCATTATAGCAAATTTTAAATGAAATGTAAAATCTTTTTGTCGCCTTCTTAAACGTGAACGGTAAACCTTTAAACTTACTGTATTTTTCTTTAATAAATCGCGTTAAACGATTTACTAAACTATTATCAATTTTATTTACTCTTTTCCCACCGGTCAGCCGTTGTTGCAGTGTTACAAAATCTGTCTGTAAAATAGGTATTTGTAATGTTTGCCTGATATGAGGAGAGAAAAGATAATAAATGTATTTTTCAACGCATTGTTTTCTTTCTGGTTTTCGTTCGTGTACCTGCTAAGTAATAACGAAAAGCGGCAATAGAGGGTTTGATATTTTTTTTTTTCTCAACGTTATCAGTAGATGGCAGTGCAAGTATTGTGCTTATCTATCATAATGTATCTGTTCACAACCATGAGTATTGGATGTTTCTAAAAGCAGGTTCCTACTAAAAATGGGCGAAATCGAAACGCGTGTCGAATGACACGCTTAACGTACCACGTAAATTAAGCGCACCTTTGTTATTCGCCACAACGGTAAGGAGTAACATCATGCTAAGTC